TTGGTCACTATCCTAATACTTGAATAGCTGTCCAATGACTTCTACTGACACTGATTTCTTCGGTTTAAACAAGATCATTTCTTGTTTGTTCACTATACGTTTGTGGCAGTGACATACGATAGCAATTTTACATCATCTTTCTCCCTCTCCAATGCAGCCTAGATACACTAGTAGTAATAATAGTAAAAACTGACAACACATGTCACAAACGAATCTACAAAAAGATACTAGAGCTGATTCTGTTCTCTTACATAAATTTATCATGATAACCATAGTTTCCCAAACGCCATAGTTACAACAGTTATTGTTAGTACTACAAACCTGGTAATGGTCATAAAAATAAATTAAACAAAATGGCAAAAAGACTACACAACACAAAAGCAATTAAAAATGTTTAATAAAATTTATTATTTTGACAGTGGTCTTTAGAGGTCAAAATCAACATGCATTCGAAGAATGGATTAAATTTTACCCAAAAATATTTTATATTTTATTTATAAGGTGACACATTATGACATTGTTCTTTATGTTGGGATACAATGGAGCAGTAATAAAAAAGAGAAAAAATTAAAAAAGTGCCTACAGCACTTTCCTAAACACCTGCAGTACTGCAACAAACTGCCATGAGTAAAGGAGTTTTTTTTCTTTTTCTGGAGGTTATTTAATAAAAAAGCACATAAGGCTGCAACTCTGTATACAATGTTTATTAACTAATATTAGAATAATATAGAAGTTATGTGAGCCATTATGAAATGCTATGTGATTAACCAGGAAACCTGACACCTTTTGCAGAAATTGTATTCCAAAATTCTTTAACATTTCTTATTTGTCAAACTGTGTTACTTCATCAATATTAAAAACATTTTTTCTCTGTCATATTATATATCATATCATATTCTTTGGCACCAAATAAAAACACACCTGTTGACCTGTTAAATACTTTTCAGTGTGGGTCAAATTTGACCCCTATGATTCCTAGGACAAACAATACCTGTAGTAACTGCGGTATAAGAAACAAACCACCATTTATTATGGTAAAATTCTTGATAAAGGGTTGTTGTTATTATTTGGGGACTTTGGTTTATTCTTTTTGAACTAAAAACTAGGTTCATGCGGTGAACAAAAGGACATTTGTTGCTTCTTTCCAACAGGGCCATCAGCCCTCCATCTCTACATATACAAATTTACATTACAGCGAGAATAGAAACAGCTACATTTAGAGACCGAACACAAGATGTAGGCTATAGAATTAATAAAGACGTTATTGTTCTCAAAATATGCCCAGCAGCCCAAGAACGAAAGTCAAGTGATGTTTCGTTTACATAGTTTACAAAATGCGCGCGATGTTGTTTGGTGAATGTAAACATCAGTAAAGAAGACCTTGAGCTTGACAATTAGCTAAGTGAGTAAACAAGTCATCCACACACATCTATAAGCCAGCAAGAGGGTGTAAAGTGCTAAAAAAAAAGTTCCTACTTTTGGCCGGCGGTTTGGTGGCCAGTGCTGAGATGTGTTTCTGCAGGCTGATAAGTTTATTCTCCAGCGCTCCGGAGCGGTAGCAGATGGAGGCGAGCTCGCCCTCCAGCTCCTCCAGGATGCTCACCGACTGACGGGAGAAATCCGACAGCTGCCGGAGCACCGCGCACAGAGTCAAGCCGCACACATCCACCAGATCCGTGAGCATCGCACCGCGACTCTTGCCGCCGCTCTTGCACACATCTTTAGGGACTATGGTCCTCTTGCAGAAGGGCATCTTTTCTGCTGTTATGGTAATCTCCCTTTAAAAGTGCGTGTTTCGCCAGCGCCGAAGAGTGTTGGCGGAGACTCTTACTCGGGATTGCGCGTACAGTGGAGGCATTTTATGCATTGTAATTGATTGTCCACTGTGAGGAGCTCTGCAGCGCTCCAGTTCACACTAGATCTCTGCAAATCACAGCTCCAAACTCCCATGAACTGCGCAACTGAGAGACCTCGCCCACTCGTGCAACAAGACCATGAGCTGAATCTTTCACGAAAACTCAACTATGCGTTCAGAAAGCAGCCTTGCTCTGCGCATGCTCACAGAGGTTTTAAAAGTGACTCCAACAAGACTGAAGAACAATGAGTAATAAAAAGTCTTTCTTCCAGTCACATATTCTAACTTTGCATTTGCCCATCCCTAAATACACATCTGGCCTAGTGTGTGTGTGTGTGTGTGTGTGTGCGCATGCTCCCCCACCCTGAACTAGAACTTGGCTCACGTAGATGTTTTGTTCGTCCAGTCTTTCCACGCTGGACGGCGAGAGAGAGCGTACAGTCTCCGTGAAGTCAAAATGATGAGGAGAGGAGAGGGAGGCTGAGAGTCCTCTGTGTTTTATAATCGTATCAGGTATGTTTCTCTGGCTTCATATGAAACCTTATCTCATACAGGGAATTGATTGGAAACATCTGGGCCTTGTTTTGCCACAGTGTATGACTGTCTTCATTGTTTCTGGTTCCCCACCCCACTCCACATGACCCAAGTGCATGACAGGAACCACTCCTGGTGGACCTTTTCTTCACGGCAACCCCCCTCCCCCTCATTTTGTTGAAAGGTCTATTTTCTAATCTTCTGTTCTTGGTTTCTTTTAATGCAGGGCTGTCAAACTCAGTTCCTGGAGGGCCACAGCCCTGCACAGTTTAGATGCAACCCTAATTAAACACACCTGATCCAGCTAATCAAGTCATTAAGGCTTATTTGAAAACTACATGGTATGTGTGTTGGAGCAGGGTTGGAACTAAACTATGTTAAACTTTTTTGTCATTTTCGTCAATTTTGATACCTTTAATGCCATTATTAGGACTTACACACGTTTTTTTTTTCTTATGTAGCAGAAACGGGCTTCCATCGATAATAGAAAAACACCTAACAGAAGTCCATCAGGACCGAGAGGCAGGTGAGTGGTTTCAGGATGATTATGCTTTCAAATGCAGCAGAATGTTTAAACTCAAGGACACCAGAGCCTGTGTGGTTTTAGTTTGTATTGCGTTCTGGCAGACAGCCCCTGCAATGTGTGTTGAGGTGAGCCGTGCTGTGCTGCTGTGGACCAACAGGCCAAAGGCTGCAGGAGGAACAGGCTGAAGCTCAGCAGGACCCATATGGCCTTCTGGAGATGAGCCTCAGCTATGGGGCACAAGAGGAAAACATACACACAGGTGTGTTCCAATCCTATCATACCACAGAAACAACAAATCCAAAAGCAGAATCATATATACAAATATTTGCTCTAGTTTATAAACAAACACCCACTCATTCAAACATAGCCAAAGCCAAGATATGAGTTCAGCTGATATTTACCACTGAGCTGAAACTATGCTGCTTATTTGATTTAGATAACTCTAATGAGCATGCCCAGACTCATTTTTAATCGGAGATGAAGTTTCCTTCAGTTAAAAAACAACTACTCAGTTCTGGATTTTCCTAAACTATGTTTATACTACATTTTGAATTAAATATTAGATTGAAACAGAGGCGCCTGATCCGGTTCCTATATTCACACACACACATATACATACATATAAAAATAATAATAAACAACGAATGTATGTCATGTGTGTACATGAACAGCAACATGTCTCTCCTCCTGATGTAAAAACTTTGCATCGCATATCAAAAAGCGAAAGAAAAAAACCCTACCCACTTCATTTCATCAATAAGTGGAAGGCTTACTTTGGCGTGATACCGCACCCACACCACTAGGTGCCAGTACAAGTACAAATCAACTGTCAATTCAGCCATTCAAACTATATAGAGTACACTTTACACTGGAATATGCAATAGATATGAAATATATGTATGGTAACCTACCAGTACAGTAATGGCTATGAAGATCATGGGCAAAAAAAGAACATCTCCATCTCCAGTCTTCGTATGAAAACTGAGTGCTGAGGGAGGCACAGAAGATTCTGAATGATACAACACACATTCTGAATCTTGAATTTGAAATGTTTCCATCAAGCAGGTTAATTTCAAACGGGTTTAAGAATTAATTTGTCTACAGTCAAGATATTAAATATCACTAATAGACGACTTCAGTGCATGGTCTTCAAGGTTTTTGTGATTATGCATGTGTTAATTGTGAGTTATGTAATGCAGTGAGCACCAAACAAATTTCTGCTTGGGGATAATAAAGTACCAGCCTCTCCCAACACTTCCTACAGGTCTACTTTCATGACATGAACACATTGAGATTTTCAATACTTCTAAATGTTTGTTCAGTAGTCCCTATGTAACAACACAATTTATTATTTATGTTTGTTAAGCTTCTAATAAAGTGAAAAAAAGCAGTTGTCAACATTTTAAAAGTAATGTTGTAATAAAAGTACATTTCTGCACCAATAAAATATGCAACACTTCTAATTAAACACCATAAAGATTTTCTCAACATTTCATGATTTCAGAGTTCCTGAATATGATGGATGATGAGAGACAGCCTCAAATAGTGCTCTGAAATGGTATTAGCAATAGTGTGGATTTAATGTGCTTTAAGGGCACCAAAATCTGGCATTTACCAGACCTGGGATAGTCTTGCTCATTTGTTTCCCGACACATGTACTGAAGTAGCCAAGACCACAGGAGTGAGTATTGGGACAGGCCCTAAGTGTCAACACCTAGTTCTATTACATAACTAAACTTTATTTTACTTGAAGTATCACCAATTATGATTATTTCGGAGCACCTTCATTTACAACAAATGGAGGAAAATAACTTTTTATGTCATAGGACACTGGCTCTCAACTAGGGGGCCTCAGCAAACTTCCAAGTTGGAATCAGGATAACTTTCAAATGTAAACATTAATATATTAATATGTAAACTGCAAACTTCTCCCTCCAATAACTATTGATTTTATTGAAGAATATTCAAACTTCTGACTTTTAATATGGTGTTGGACATCAGCGGGCCTTACAATCAAAATGTTTGAGAACCACTGATTTGGTCTATCCACTTCATACTTTTCAACAAAAGACAAGATTCACTGTAGTTGTAAATAATTGTTTATTTCAAACCAAGGTGTTTGCTAGTCTGTTGACTTAGCTGCTGCTCTGTTTGGCAGCCAGTCTCTTGTCTCTCTCCTCAGCAATGGTCAGGCGGATACCCTTTCCACGAGGCAGGGACACCCAAGGCTTGTTGCCCTGATGACAGAGACACAGTATTATTAACTTGTAATACTGTAAAATAATAGAAGTAATTTGTTAAATCTGTAAAACCGCTTTAAACCCCACAATACCTCTTAGCATATAATGTAGAAACGTGTGCACCCCAATGAGTAAAAAGTTCCCAAAGTCGCACCTTAATTTTGACCACTGCTCGAGCAAATACTAAGCCCAGTCAACTGCTTGCTAACAGCCCATATTAAACAACAGACAGTAAACTTTTTGTACTCACCTTGCCGATGACGAAAATGTTGGAGAGCCTGGTGGCAAAGCTGTTGCCAGTGCTGTCTTTAACATGCACCACATCAAAAGAGCCAGGATGCTTCTCTCTATTGGTGATCACACCAATACGCCCCAAGTTAGCACCTCCAGTCACCATGCACATGTTGCCTATTTACACAGAAAATGACAATAAGTGATGTGCAACTCAAAGCAAAAGAAAAGGAGACAGACAAAGTTTCAGACAATATGCTCACCAACCTGTCTCAAACTTGATGAAATCTGTAATTTTGCCTGTGTCCAGGTCAATGCGGACGGTGTCATTGACCTTGATCATGGGATCAGGGTAGCGGATGGTGCGGGCGTCATGGGTCACCAGATGTGGGATTCCCTTTGTGCCGATGAGGATTTTCCTCACCTTGCACAATTTGTACTGAAAACAGGACAAAAGCATTAGCTCAAAAGATCTGCTATCTCTAATCCTACTGATGAGATCTTGTCATACTATCCATTATTTGTCATATTGCACAAGAATATTAAGCTCACCTTGGCCTCCTCATTTGTGATGCGGTGAACTGTAAAGCGTCCCTTGACATCATAGATGAGTCTGAAGTTCTCGCTTGTCTTCTCAATGCTGACCACATCTGAAAGAACGACAGCACAACACATTTCATTAACACATGACCATCAGATTGTCACCTCAGCTTATGTTTTATAACATCCTGATAAACAGCCTGCTGCATCACCTGAGGTGGAAAATCAGTCACAGCAGATTAATATCCTGTTGGCACCTACTAGGCAAGTATGGGTGCACAGTGGAAACGCTATGTGAAGAAGAGTGTTATAACAACACTGAGGGATTAGCCACTCAATGTGACGATTGCGGTTCAACCATCTGGTAAGTTTCAGCTCACACGCTCAATTATGAGTGCCACTGCAGAGACCGGAAACACTATATTGTCTTTTTTTTTTATGCAATAAACTCAGCAGACAACTAGATGACTGATATTAGTTTAAAAAATAAATAATCGGTTGTGTGGCCAATTGAATCACTTTGCATACCCTAAAGTGCCAGAGTGTGGCTGCATAACAAACCTCACATTTCAGATATATTTAAAAAGGGAGAAAAGAAAAAAAAAAAAGTGTTCATAGACTAGAACATATTCGGTTCCACATCCTAAATATTGTCTGACCTAAACATCGGCCCAATGCCTAAATACTGAGACACTGCTATATGCCAATGGCCTAAACAAGTGCATAGGACTTTAGCTGAAATTGTGCAATTAGCTGAGGTTGTTGAAAGTTCAAAAGCATGTTTAACACTCCAGCTGAAGAGCAACAAAGCTGTTTGTGAAGCACTTCAACTGATTAAAGGTCCAGATAGAGTTTAATCACGCAAAATGCTATACTTGAATATTTAGGCTCTCAAAGATGTCCAAATGCTCCTTATTCTGTTTCCCACCAGACTCTAAACAGTTTCACCACGAAATATTTTTTACACTTCTCATAAAATCTAAGACTGTTTGGATGCATTGCTTTAGCAAATCATCGTGATATGGCTTAGTGCACTTATCAAATCACAAAATGCTGTGATTTGAAATTTAATATATAGTCCGTTTTGTTTTTTTACAGTTAAGTGTGGCACTGTGTTCATTTACACACATCCAGGTCACAATCCAGTGTTCTCAGTGTCACGGTTCACAGACCATTCAGCAAACTATCTGCATGCGCTGTCAGTTTAACATGCATTTGAGAAAGCAATGTGCAGCAGTTACACTTTTACATTTGCATAACTTCCAAAATGTTGTGGAGAGATGACAGCATTTCACTGGATTTGTAATGAGATACACAGAAACTAAACGGTGGTCTACTTGCAGTTGTCCAGCAAAAGAAAAGCTCAAAGGTTTAACACGTACAATTCAAGGCAAATACTGTCATTTTACTATAAAATTAAAAAGTTTTGTACAGTCTAGTTGAATTACAATAGTAATATTTCCATCTTGCTGTAATCAGTAGGTTCCTAGATGACCACTAAAACGCCAGTCCAGTGAAGGCATCCAAACATGAATCACTAGAGCCGAATGCAGCAGTACTCACCCATGAAGCCAGTGGGGTAGGTGACATCAGTGCGGACCTTGCCATCGATCTTGATGAACCTCTGCATGCAGATCTTCTTGACCTCATCTCCGGTCAGAGCGTACTTGAGACGGTTCCTCAAGAAGATGATGAGGGGAAGGCACTCCCTCAGTTTGTGGGGACCGGTGGAGGGACGAGGAGCCTATGGAAACCGAATAAAAATCCACATCCATTTGTCAAGTCTGTAGAATGCATACAGCGTCACGTTACTTAGTTTAAATTTTCTTAAGCACTATATAAACTAACAAATAGTGTCTCAAATACATCACTTTGCATTGAACAGGTCCACATGGCTCAAAGACCATAGATCAGTACATGTGAGCGTACATAATTTTAAGGGTTTTATCTCAAAAGCGCGGTCCATTTCTTTAAATCTAAAACTTTAACAAGAACAAAATTGAGCTCATCTATAAGAAAGTAAAGCATCACTTACAAACACTCCAGTGAGTTTGTCCAGCATCCAGTGTTTAGGAGCTGCGACACGCTTCAGATGCTTCTTCGGTCCTCGGGCCTGTATAATAATAGAAACAACTCAATCAGCTAAAAGAGCATCGTTGAGAGCAGTCGATATAAATATGTGCAGTAAATACACAAATGCACTACATTAGTGTTCTGCACCAAGAACACCAAATCGGCTAGGCGCGGCCTTCACATTCTTTCCTGCCATTTCAATACAAAAACACTGAAGCGTGCTTTTTAAACAACGCTTTATAGAAATATGATGTTTTATTGATTTAAAAAATATTAAAACCACTGAACCAGTTTAAAAACTATCATTACACCACAAAGAAACAGTGAGTCCCCTTAAAGGAATTCCGTGAACATTTTAGCCATAACATCTGCGCTTTTTTGGGACAACTTGTGTGTTGTTCATCTTCGATGGGGTGAAAGAGCAGCATTTGGAACAGGACTGGGAAAGTCCGCTCTTTTAAAACGTTGATGATTGTGGATTACTTTGGGAGGCTATCGTGAATTAAACGCACTCACCATGTTGGAGTCTGCGGAAAAGGACCAGCCACTTCCTGTCAGCGGAAGATAAGCTGAACTACCGGTGCCGAAGAAGGACAATCGAAGCTTCCCCTATAAGTCCTACGAGTGTGTGCCATCTAAGTGGGGAGGTCTGTAATCATACTTCAAAGCAATATAAATGAGAGACTGTTGTGCTCTTATACTCTATACTGAATGTCTTGAGCCTCCTTCGATGTTTTTTTATAAATGTATAAGTGTATGTTTCTTCATACGGGGCCTTTTTGGTTATTCCTGGTCCGCAGAAGTTGCCACATTACTGTAGCCAATTTTAAAGACATTCAAATCATAGTTTCAATTATTTTATGACAATGTCACAGTTGAGTGAACACCAGGGTGAATTTGAACTAATTTTACTACTTTAGTGCTATGCATAAAAAGTGAAAATTAATAGGATATTAGGCTACAGTTTTGTTTTGTCTTCTTTTTGTTTTTTTTGTTTTGTTTTTTCATTTTGTCCCTTTTCTCTAATCAAAAAGTTATTTCGATTTGTAATCATTCTGTAACTTTTTCATGTGCTTTTTCCAAATCTTAGTTTCTATCGTTTTAGTTCAGTTCGGTTCCTTGAATGGCATGAATGGCATTATCTTTCAGGATTAGCAGTGGATGTAATAAATTATGTGATATTGGTTTTGGCTTAATTTTTATCACAACCAACAAGTTTTTTTTTTTTTTTTTTAAGTAAGTTGATGTACTTGTTTACCAAGGGGAAAACAGAGCCAGTAGTTAAGATGAGGGGAAAGTCCGTTTAAAAACAAACTATTATCTTTCATTGTTTAAGATAGGAAAAAAATGCTTGGAAATTCCAGGTTGTGAAACAGGGCTGTGTTTTTATAAGCAGATCAAGACCATTCATCCACTGGTCAGTCACTAGCAGTGTTGGGGAAAGTTATTTTTAAAAGTAATGCATTACAATATTGCGTTACTCCCTAAAAACGTAACTAATTTCGTTACTTAGTTACTTTTTATGGAAAGTAATGCCTTACATTTATTTTGCGTTACTTTCGCGTTACTTTTTAAATATGAGCAGGGCTTGATTGTTTTTAATATAAGAAGTTCTATTTATTAAAGTGTAATGAATAAACCTCAGGCTGAAGGAAAAGTAAATTCACGTCTGTTCAGTAGAACGCAGGAGAAGAAACACTCTTCAGCAATAAAAAAACAAAGCACAATTGTTAGTTTCTCTAAAGTCATTTTTGCTTATTAGTATGGTTGAACTGGATCATCAAAGGTCAGCAGCAAAAATATTGGTTAATAAAATGGGATTAGATACATTTGTGTTATTTAACATATTTAATTATTGCAGGTTTGCGTCATATTCTGAGTTTGCATTTCACTGTTTTAATTCATTTTGATGAATACTAAATCTGTTTTTTGTGAGTGGGATGAATTAATGCACATTCACATTTAGTCTAGAACTACAGTAACATCATGTTCACACAGCGCACACAACTCCTCTGTACTTCCGATTTCTCCCAGTATGGGGACAGGAGACTTGTCAGTCAATAAATGGGAAAACAAAGTAACTGACATTACTTTTTTGAGAAAGTAACTCAGATATTTTCTTGTAAATAAAAAAAGTAATGCGTTACTTTACTAGTTACTTGAAAAAAGTAATCTGATTATGTAACTCGCGTTTCTTGTAATGCGTTACCCCCAACACTGGTCACTAGACAATCGCTTGAATGCCTTCTCCATTCTGCAGCATGTTTGAGTCTTAAATGTGCAGTTGGCCACTAGATGCCAGTACTAACCAGTTAGTCATCTTTCATTGTCTGGTCGCCGTGATTTTGCCAAGACAACAACATCTTTTGTTGATCCAGGAGCAACATTACTGTCCAAAAATATAGACTAAACCCAATCCCTACCCCTAAACCTAACCCTACCCATAATTTATTCCTAAAATCAGTGTGAAATGATAGCTGATTAACAAGGGTGTTGAAGCACCTAACCCTGATCTTAAGCCTAAAACAAATATTTCCTGAAAAGTTATCCCTCAGTTCTGATTGGTTAATTGGAATGTTATTCCAGGATCAACATCCTTGTTGATCCTGGAATAACATTCCAATTAACCAATCAGAATTGAGGGATAACGTTTCAGGAAATATCTGTTCAGGAACATGTTGTACTTTCATGTGTCACCTTCGTTGTCTAGCGCAGGTTCTGACAGTAACTGATCGGTTACAATGTTTTTTTTGTTTTTTTTTAAGTTTTCTCCGAGTTTATATTTTCATAGTAAATACTAAGTTTTATTTATTTATTTATTTGATTTTGGACAACAGTTGTTCATCTTAAATCATGAATTTTTTTGTCAAATGTGGGATTCAGTTAAAGTGTTGTATTGGAAAGAAAAAGACAATATGTTGTGCTTTGTATCTTTATTTTCTCACATTCAGAAAAAAAACTGAAAAGTACACACTTTTAAATATAATAGGCAATAGCTCTCTTACGTAGAAAAATAAATGGATAGAAGAAAAAAAGTGCTAAACAAAAATCTTTGATTTAGTTTCAGTAAGTCACAAATTTCAAAAACAAAGAAAAAAAAATCTGAGACAAAATATCTGACAGAAAGTCCTCTTTCAATGGGTAAATTGAATTAATTTTTTAAGCATGTAAAATGTGTAACATTTGTTTTTGTAGAAGACCTGCAAAGATCTACATTACAATTAACCTACTTTATTCATACAGCCTACAAGACCAACAAAAAAAAAAAAGAGAGAGAGACAGTGAGAACAGAACAGTAAATTTACATTTAGAGAAAAAACGACAGTAGGCAATATTCTTTTTTTTTAATTAACATTGACCTTTTTAAGTGCATGAATCAATCATCTCTAGACAAACAAACTAAAATACAAAAATAAGGCTATCAGACCATGCAGGCTGAATTGTGGGGTAAACAGACACGTCTCATTAATATATTTAACCATGGAAAACGTTCGGCCAGGTCGAGTTCCTCTGAGACCAGCGAAGCTTGCGATGACACGGCTTCTCGAGGGAATCTCTTGAATGATGGAGGGGCTCAGCTGAGCGCACCAATTTCACGATCACCTTCCATTACACACTTGTAATACCATCCGTCTGTTAGTCCAAATAGGGGCTGGAAGTCAGACCGACCGGCAGCAGGCAGGCAAGGGTAGCCGAAAGCCTTTGTTCTCTACAAACCATATTTGCTGTATATCTGTTCTTGCACCAACCTCACAATGAGGTGACCTTTCAAATCCACTCCACATATCATGATGTGAATTTTATAAGGGTGTGAATGAGCTTTGGAAAAATAGATGCCTGGAAGGCAGGGTGAAAAGTCTTAAGGATGGCCATTTTGGTTTGCGTGCCAAGTCCTCTGACTTCTGAAGACTTTTTAAATTCTTTTGAAAGTCTATAGCTCGCATAAGAGCAAACCTACATTAGTCTGCCCTCCAAAACCATAAATAACAGCTCTTGACAGTTCATATCTGAGAGATCAATTTTCTTTTCATTGCCATGTTAAATTGCCATTCATTGGGCGCTTTGATTTGGTAGATTTTGTAGCACCTGAGAGGGTCAGCAGCGAGCTGGCACATCCGCGATGAAGTCAAACTCGGTCTGACCCAGCCATAGCTCTGGAAGCTCATTGGCACGGTCCAAACCCAGCTCCACAACAAGCGACATAAGAACTTCCTCATCGACCGGATCAGAATCAATGATCCCAGGTGCCTGTGCCACCCCAGGCGTGGTGACCTGTCCTGGGCCTAGCATGGTGGCTCCGTACCCTCTACCGGGTCCAGTGGTAGCTGCAGAGGACAGATTCTGATAGTGGCTGTTGAGTTTCTGGAGCTGCATGGAGGCTATGAGATGCTGGCCAGACTGCAGGCAGAAAGGCTGGGGTTTTCCCAACACGGGGGAGCTGGGATGGAGGGCAGCGGAGGGGATCTGAGGGCTCGTCTTGCCTGAACCAGAGTAGTGCAGGAGAGAGAGAGTGTCACGATCCTTCATGGTGGCACTAGAACACAGGAGGCTCATTAAGTTGGACACACCTAAAGGAAAAGAAGATGATAACATGAAAGTCCCTTTAGAACATCTTCTTTTGTGTTCCAATGAACGTTTGGAATGATGGCTGGAATACATAACATGACTTTTGGAATCGGAACAGATTTTAAAATATTAAGCATCATACACTTCGTAAAACGGTTCCAGAGAAAAACTAGACATCACACACAACTGATAGTCACACACTACCAGACTTTCAAGTCATTACGAACACAACAAACACGCGCAGAAATTGCAAAAAGACGGATGACATATGAAAACAATGCGTTTTAAAATCAGTTCAAATTGATCAAACATGTCTGATATCCTCTGACTAGATGGATTCATATTCTGAAGCTTAAAAAAAAACATCGGTGTCCATCATAAAGTACACAATTTTCTGTGAAATCTGTCAACTCCAACTGGCTCTGAGTTCAGCAACTTGCATTGACTCCTTCAAACTGCAAATCTGGGCAAAAATCATGCGTATGTGTATTCCAGCCTTAAATTATAAAGATTTTTGGGTGAACTATGCCTTTAACTGAAATCACAAGGCAAGAGTATATCAATGGATCAGAAGGGCAGCAAGTCATAAGACTTTCCAAGACTATTGTAGAGATGAACCATTCATAATCCCTCAGACGTGGGGTTAATTATGAAGTACGTGACAGCATCCTGTGACTCCATATCCTACTGCGTCTCACATGTGCTCGCACACACGGAGGACAAGTAATGAGGCACTTAATCATATGTGCTGCTCCACTCTCCTCAATCCCCACTTAAAGCCATTCTTTTGGGGGAAGGCATAATTGCTGAAAGCTGGCATGCAGCTGCAATGGACCTCCAGCAAAGAACAGCACACAGGCTCATCTCAGACATTGACAGCTGTAGGGCATTCATCTCGAGATCTTTGTGTTTAGCTCATTGTATTCATTATCCATGGCCTGGAAGCAGTCACATATAACACGATGAAGCCTACAACTTAATTAGACCAAGACAAATGTAAAACTGAACTTTGCGGTTATCTGCAAATCCTAACTTTAATATTGGACTAGTCTGTGTTGTTGGTGGACTATTCAATAAGTCCTGTGAAAAAACATCGTAAAAGATGTGTTGATCTAGTTACATTAGATATATAATTTTAAAAGCGGTCATACAAATTGATCATCTTTTTTCAGTGTCAATCTTGTGTCACAATCTGTGTGGTGCAGTACATATAACTGCTCATTTCCTACTATCACTAGCCAGTGAGATGTTGTGTTAGTTAGTGTCAGTTAAACAGTCAATTATGACACAAACAAGATTAAAACATTAGTTGGTGACATTCAACTGATTTAAATACAACTGAATTACAACCAGACTGGATTAGACCCAAAACAGAGCGATAAAATGTGTTGCGTAATAAATATCCAAGAGTGGATGTGGAATTTGTAGTAAATTCTATAAACAAAAACTATCAAATCTAGTTTTATAGACAAATTTCAGAATAATTATTATCTCGCGTCATTTAAACAACAGCAAAAAGCGTTGAAATAATACAGTTTAAAAGTTATTTAAATGTTGGAATTTGCAGAATGGAAATATATGAAAGTAAAAAAAAACAAACAGTAAAACTGAAACTGTTTATGATAACTTACCTTTACAGGAGAAATGGTCAACTTGTGTTCTTGTTGCGAATCCAGTATGACTAAAGAGCAAGAATTTTTATAATTTAGGAAAATTAAATGCGCTAAATATGCACTGCATGAAAATAAAGCCGTTGAAATAAGGTGCTGTTGTATTTGGCAAAGAGAGATATTAAGTCGACTCTGGACATGAAGTTGGAGAAATGTTCCCCGTCCTGTTGCAGGAGAGCACCCTCAATGAACTGTTACTGAATCAAAGGCATTAGCCTAAATACACACACTCGACGCTCTCAAGAGGGACCCGAGTCCGCTGAAAAACATGACATGGAGCATCTGCGAGACTGGACTGTGACCAATCGACGACTGGTGAAGTATAAGCGGGTAATTTAAAATTACAACATTTGACGGATTACTTGACTCCAGAATTAATATTCTGTCATCATTTACTCATTTTTACCTATATTTTTCTTCTTTAATATACCAACGATGCAAACTAATATGCTCCGTGTGCTGGAATGGAATTTTATCCGCGTTTTCTGTTCACCCTTATAAAGTCACTTAATAATGATCTTTCATTGACACACCACAGACAGTAAAAATATCGCTGAGACAATTAGTCCTGATTGAGTCGTAGATTTTCTAAACACAATATCAAACTAATGTATGGTTTGAATATTTTTTTTTTTCAAACTTAAAAGTTCTTTTTGACCAAAATGCTGCTGCTGCATAATGTATAACTAAACGGACAAAACGAGAATTTGTCACGTGTCATTCTTCACTGAATCAGAAATTAAACTGAACCGCATCAATTAAAAAACCTGTTCCGACCGAAACCGGTGTAAGCTGTCTAACAAGACTTGAGCTGCTCGTCTCAATATTGATTAAAGGAGAGACGCAGCCAAACGGCAGCTTTCTTTTCCGTTTAAACGGGTTTAAAGACCGCATCTGCCGTCATTCATGAAGACACTTCACATGTAGATTAGGAGGGAAGTGACGGGTGAAGGAGCAGGGGTTTGCTCCACTCCTGTGGGAAACGTTATGCAAATGAAGACAAACGGTTTTGACATGCCCTTTGTTTGTCACAACTCAAGAGCTAATGTCATGAAGGCCACTTTTGTATAGAAGAATGGGTCACACTCCTCAAATACTTCATTTCAGTCCAGTGCTGCTGACAAAAACGCTGTACAAATCCGTTTGGAGTGAAAGGTTGAACACGTCGTCAGGGAAGACAGACGAACACTTTGCATAAAATTCGTTGGGATGTCAAACACAGCCTACCACTAGATGAGCAGGTGCCATATCCATTAGGAACGTCTTGTAGTCCGGGTAGATGATCAACAACAACCTTTTCAGGCGGTTTACTAGTCAATGACAAAGAAGGTATATATATATATATATATATATATAAGTTTTCCTTTCCTTGAACAATTTGAATCTACAAGACAAAATCTTTTTCTTAAAAATTCCTCAGAAAATGTCAAACATGGTTAGAAGGTATATATATATATATATATATATAAGTTTATTCCTTTCCTTGAACAATTTGAATCTACAAGACAAAATCTTTTTCTTAAAAATTCCTCAGAAAATGTCAAACATGGTTTTCAAGGTTATATGTAGTTTTTCGGATATCATTATTTTTGAAACTATTTTTATTTTACAGGGAATAGTATTTACATTTTTCAAACTCTTTCTTTAATGTTATGAATTTTAATTCGAAAATTAAAAACATAGATCTGTATTCTGTCGTTTTATGTATGTATTGCATTTTTAATTCATTTGAATAACCTAATCGATCTGGACAGAAAAGTCAATAAATAAAATTGGTATCATGTTATTTGACTCAAAATACAGCTGCAAGTATTCAATATGCTTATTTTAAACTATTAAAACCTGAAATGAAACAGTATACTAGAGTGTCACGTTTCACCCCCCACCCTTATTTATCTAGTGTTTCAAAAGCAACCTGCTCCAGAAAACGCAGAGGAAAAATCAAAAGCAGGATCATGAAGTATTGAGACTGTTGGGGTTTTAATAGGGCGAGTCGCTGAAAATCAGTCCCGTCTCTCGGTTTAATTCTGCATCTCTCAAAGCTAATAAAGGACTTAATGAATCACACTTGGTGTGCCATTCAGAGAAACCTCTGCAACCTAGAAATCCATAAAGATCATGCTGAAAAGAACAGGACTTCCCCTAGTGAAACACAAGGACACTCACTGGAAGAAAAAGCCACACGATTTATTTTTTGTATTTTAATATATAACAGAAAAGCATTTATACAAAAATTTAAAGTTGACAGGCAGCTTGAAAACATTTGCAATTTTTGACTCACTCATCAAACGCAAGAAAATAAACATTGTGGTAAAAAGCATGCCATAGGCAACATAAAACAGTTCATGAAGCCAACATGACTTGGAATTTGGTCAGTCTGCCCATTAAATTTCACTGCAAGATATTGCAGTTAAAAGTTATAAAAGATGGTTTCATTAAGGGGGATGAAGCCAAACTGTAAAGATCTCAGTGGCTTGCCCTGTGCATCTAAACCATGGTTCGACATGTTTCTGGGATGCATCTTTGACAAGACTCTTTCAACACTTTGACAAGACAATATCTCACTTTCAAATGATCCCATATAGTTAAAACAGAAAAAAAATGTTATCTGTGACATACTGCACCCACAACATGTTGCATTCACACTGAATTTCACCTGAAAATGGCTTTGGATATCTGTAAAAAAGTACACCCATTAAATATTTGCCCCAGATCCAACATTGACTAAAACCGTTCAAATGTGGCAACACTGGCCCATCTCTGCATTTTTTTCCCTGGAAACATTCAAGTAATTGTTTTCCAAGCTCCCCTCTGGCGATGGCTCCGACATACTGTCTTCATTAGAGGAGCAGGGCCTGATTTGGAAACATGAGCTAGGAGCCCACTGCTAAACTACATTCTTCAGATTCCCTGTAAACAAGCAGGGGAGGAGATAGAGAGGGGTAAAGACAATTCTTAAAAATGGGTCAAAATGAATTACAGAAAACATATTGAGCAATATTAATACAGTGATAGAGACATGTGGTGTAATGAATGGAACTGTGAAAAATGTACACATGAAATTAGTGCTGACAAACCTAAATATATACAAAAATCTGATGTGTCCACCTGAACGTCTGCACAAGAACCTACCACACTTTAATGTCACAATGACACAAACTCAAACAAAGCAGCGAGGTTGCAAATCTGGAAAAAACAGGATTTCCTATGACTTCTCTTACGGAAGCACAAGCTATTCAAATATTTCTAAATCTAAATCAATTTACATGGATTTACAAACCGCAATTTGCATTGGAATTGTGCCTGCCATTCACACTAGCTGAGCTGAAAAAGGACGTCTCCTTTGTTCTCACCAGCTGGTTGGCAAATGAATTTGAATTTAAGGCTCTAAAGGAAATCCTGGTTTAAAAAAATGAATCAATAGGAATCCATACTTTACAAAGCAAGCTTTATAATCATTTTAAAAAATGTCATTTAACCTCATTTTTAAAATTTGATCTGCAATAAGACCACAGTTTGTCATGAAATGTAGCTGAAGTCATGGCTCCTACAAAATTGTTGAGAAAAAGCATTCCCTCATTTTCAGAGATTTAATCGGAAGGCATGCATCTACAGTGACATTTTAACACTATTTTTAAGCACAACATGTTCCTCTTACTTTGAAGGTTGCGGTTCCGAAGGCCTTGGAACCAATTATCTTCAATTCTCATTTGAAATGAGCAAGCTTTTCCTTTCCTAAACCTCGAGTGGTTTCACATTAAGGAAACCGTAAACGTTTATGAATCTATTTACATGCAGAATTTAGCAGATGTCCGATGATCTCCCGTCTCCATCTTTCCGGCCTACATATGCATGCTCTTTTCAAATATGGACTGTTTTCAGGGACGGAATCAACAAAAATGTCCAGTTTGTTTGTAGTCGTCTACAACATGCACAAACGATATGGTCTCTATTAACACCCACTGTTTAAAATTATATGGCATTCAACATGAGTTTGATAAACTCAGCAGTATTTGCTGATCAGAACCACTGAAAACAACCATGTATGGTGTTTACTCATTTTTGCCCCTCTTTCTCTCAGCATCTTATAATGCAAGGCTGAGTGTCGGAAATGTTACCCAGATGTGCTTGGAAACTCCAGTAATGTGTAACAACTGCAAGCCTCTCTTTAAATTACCTGCATTAATCAATCGCAGTTCTTCACAGAGAAATGGTTGTGCAGATTATCAGAATGCATGCCATATTATGCATGCTTGGGAAGGTCAGGCACACAGACTTCAGGTAACTCTCATCACACAGGTTGGCACTCGTCTTGCATTTGCTTCCCTCATCTGCATGATTTCCTTTCCCTCATAAACATGGCGCTTATGTGACATACATAAGACTGTAAACAACCACTGAGCACTGCAGAAAAATCCTAATTAAACAGTTTAATTGATGTGAGCTGCTCATTTGAAAGCTGAGGCACATGGGGCTGTGCGAGCTTGTTGAAAAACGATATGGGAGTCTTTAGAAAACCCTGCACTTCAATGGTGTAATTTAGTGCCTAATAAAACCTCATCACAAACAATTACTTCCTCTTAATATAAACCCAACCATCTGACATCTATTGACCAGTGTGCTACACTGTCCTGACTATCCAAACAACAACTACACTCAATTACCACAAAATAACTGGCATACAAATAGTGCCAGCCTACTTCAAACCACTGGCCAGGTATAACACCACATTCAATTCACCTGGCACATAGAAGTCTCATTGAATTTGTATAGTAAACTAACTAACTTCCTTCCTTCCTTCCTTCCTACCAACCTACCTATAAATGAGCCAAAGCAACCCAATTGCTATACATTTTGTCCCAACTTAATTTAATTGTTCAATCCACTTAAAATATATATACAAATAGATTAAAAAGTGTACTCAATCCATTTGTGTTTGAACTTAATCTTTCTGTTGCATTAACTGAAACTTTGCAGTGTTATTTTTAAAATTAAGATAAAATAGATGTTTTCTATTTTTAATGTATTCTAAATTGTAATTTATTCCTGTGATGGCAAAGTCAGTGGTCACATAATTCTTCATAAATCCGTTAAATTTGTTGACTTGGTGCTCAATAATTTTTTTATTTTTTTATTTTCAATTATGTTGAAAATGGATGTTCTGATTAAATCATACTTTTTTTCAGGATTCTTTGCTGAATAGAAAGTTCAAAATA